CCCTGTTCTTTCTTCCCTCTCTGCCCTCACTTCCCTCCCTGCTCTCTCTCCATTTTCTGCCTCTTCGCCTTCTCGCCTCCTCACCTTCTCACCACATTGTCTTCCTGCCCCTCAGTCTACTAGCAGCAAGCCCGCCTACGGTACCCATCTCATCGCAGCATACAGTCCTAATTTGTCATCAGTTCTGGCATGGTATGTGAATGCATGTACTGTCACCGTGAGTCTCCCCTCCTTCCCTCTCCCTTCTGTGGTGCAGCTCGTCATGGATGAAGCGATCAAGCAGACAAGTTGGTTAGATTATGGAGGATAGTGTGGTGTGGGTCTTTGTTGTATCATAACCTCGAATTGCACGTATATCGCAAAGTTTCCAATCAATTTGGGGTTTTATATATCCAATAATGATGACATATATTACGATATGTGTGGTCAATTGTAATGGTCTCCTCCTGTTGCAGCACTAGTGGGTGTGGGGAACAATAACTACTCATATAATACGGTATATTGCGCAAGGTACAAAACAGCCTTTTCCTCCAATCTTATTGTGGCCTCCGCACACACGTGACTAATGTAGCTCAAGTTGAGTGGTGGTGAGAGGCCATGCTGTGCTCGTGCTCCTGCAGTCACCCCTGCAGCATCAGCAACTCAGAGGCCCAAGCAGGTAGGAAGCAGGGGCGGATGAGCAGAACGTGTGGAGGCAGGGCGAGTGGAGAGCCAAAGCCTGCCTGCATCCCCGCCCACTTCCTAAACCCTGCATGGCAGCCCGCTGCCCTGCTGCCGCCTGCATGGCACACTCAGCCCAGCACGCAGCGAAAAGAGGAGAGTGGCAGGGCAATGGCAGGGCGAAAGGAAATCACCTCCGCAGCACTGCCAGGTGCAGCAGGGGGATAGGAGTGGGAAATGAGTGGGAAAGAAGGAGAGGCAAAGAAATAAAGGGAGAAAAAGGGCACCCGGAGGGAGAAAGAAGGGGAAACGGAAGGGGGAGTGAGGAAGAAGGTTGGGGGGGCATGAGGCAGATGTGCAAGTCAGGTGTCCTAGGGACGAGCAGAGGAGAAGGGGATTGGAGGGATGAGGAGGATTGCGCGGGTTCGTGTGAGCGCAGTTGAGTGCGAGAAGCACTTCCCTCCCATTACCCACACCCGCCACGCCTCTGCCTCTCGCAAACGTGCTGCTGCCACGGGTTTCGGAAGCAAAGTGAAAGGAAGGGATCGGAGGGGAAAGGAAGGGAAGGGAGAGAAGGTGCGCTGTGAAGGAGAGTCCGGGGAGGTGCGCCCTCGGGGGAAAGGGAGGTGCGACCTGGCGGGAAAGGAAGGTGCGACCTGGGGGGAAAGGGAGATGCGACCTGGGGGGAGAGAGAAGGCGCAAGGAGGCTACAACTACCTCTGCACGGAGCCACTGCTCCGCTCCGTCTCCGCTTCCCCGCCCTGCAAAGTCACGGTCCTCGCCCACTTCCAGTGCTCCCATCTCGCTCAGTAACTGGTAGCTGATGGGATGGGGGGAAAGGAGGAGGTGGAGGAGGTTGGGGAGGAAGGCGGAGAAGAAGTTAGCGGCGGCGCCTGGGGGAAACCTTACCGTGGTAGGTCGGTCTAAGTGAGGACGCCCCCACACCCTGGGGGGAAGGGAGGTGCGATTTGGGGGGAAGGGAGGTGCGACATGGAAGGAAAGGGAGGTATGACCTGGGGGAAAGAGGAGAGCGGCACCCTGGAAGGGATGAGAGAGGGGGCAAACATGGTTCTCAAGGTCAAGGTGCAACAACCGACCCAAGTCCTGCCAGCGGCGGGGAGGGAGGAGGACAAGGGGGAGGGAGGAGGACAGGGGGGAGGGAGGAGGACAGGGGGGAGGGAGGAGGACAGGGAGGAGGACAGGGGGGAGGGAGGAGGACAGGGGGGAGGGAGGAGGACAGGGGGGAGGGAGGAGGACAGGGGGGAGGGAGGAGGACAGGGGGGAGGGAGGAGGACAGGGGGGAGGGAGGAGGACAGGGGGGAGGGAGGAGGACAGGGGGGAGGGAGGAGGACAGGGGGGAGGGAGGAGGACAGGGGGGAGGGAGGAGGACAGGGGGGAGGGAGGAGGACAGGGGGGAGGGAGGAGGACAGGGGGGAGGGAGGAGGACAGGGGGGAGGGAGGAGGACAGGGGGGAGGGAGGAGGACAGGGGGGAGGGAGGAGGACAGGGGGGAGGGAGGAGGACAGGGGGGAGGGAGGAGGACAGCGGGGAGGGAGGAGGACAGGGGGAGGGAGGAGGACAGGGGGGAGGGAGGAGGACAGGGGGAGGGAGGAGGACAGGGGGGAGGGAGGAGGACAGGGGGGAGGGAGGAGGACAGGGGGGAGGGAGGAGGACAGGGGGGAGGGAGGAGGACAGGGGGGAGGGAGGAGGACAGGGGGGAGGGAGGAGGACAGGGGGGAGGGAGGAGGACAGGGGGGAGGGAGGAGGACAGGGGGGAGGGAGGAGGACAGGGGGGAGGGAGGAGGACAGGGGGGAGGGAGGAGGACAGGGGGGAGGGAAGATGAGGGAGCATGAGGGAGGTGTGCAATTCAGGTGTGCTAGGAATGGGCAGAGGAGAAGGGGATTGAGGGGATGAGGAGGAATGCGCAGGTTTGTGTGAGCGCAGTTAGTGCGAGATGCACTTCCCTCCCTAAACCCGCACTCGCCGCGCCTCTGCCCCTCGCACCCACGCTACTGCCACCTCACTTTCTGAAGAAAGTAGTGGGGAAATGGGGAAGAAAAGGGTGAAATGAGGGGAAGGAGGGATGGGAATGACGGCATGGAGGGGGGAAATGGGGGGAAGGAGGGAGAGACATGAGGGAAAGAAGGGGGAGAGGGAAGGGAGGAGATAGAATGAGCTGAATGAGGGTTTGGGGGGGATGGGAAGATGGGGTTGAGGGACGGGAGGAGATGCGACCTGGGGGAAAAGGGAGGTGCGACCTGGGGGAAAAGGGAGGTGCGACCTGGGGGGAAAGGGAGGTGCGACTTGGGGGGAAATGGAGGTGCGACCTGCGGGTAAGGGGATACGCGATCTGGGGGGAAACGGAGGTGCGACCTGGTGGGAAAGGGAGGTGCGACCTACGGGTAAGGGGATATGCGACATGGGGGAAAATGGAGGTGCGACCTGGAATGGCTGCTACTCTGTCCTCTCCTAGCAGGGATCGCGGATGCGAGTGTGGTGGCGTGGAAAAGGCGCTACGCCACGCGCACATGGCGAGAATTGCGAGTTTGAGCGGGTTGGCGTGAAACAGACGGTACGAGTGATGCTACTTGCGGGAATCGCGGCTCTTAGCGTGGTGGCGCGAAACAGACGCCGCAAGTGGGAATCGCGGCTTAGCGTGGTGGCATGAAGAAGACGCTACGCTACGCGCAACTGGCCAGAATTGCGGCTGTGAGCGGGGTGGCGTGAAACAGACGTTACGCTACATGCTGCTACCTGGAATCGCGGCTATCAGCGTGGCTGCGTGAAAAAAACTCTACACTACGCGCTCCAGGCGAATTTCGCGGCAGTGGGCGCGGTGGCGTGCAGAATTCTGCTGCGCTGCCTGCAGCTAGCAGGATTCCGCATTTCCGCATTTCCGCGGATTACTTCTCCCAAGCAAACTAGCTCACGAAATTGTTTGCCATCGCTCTGGGTGTTCGAATTCCTCACACGTGTTTGAGGATGAACCTTAGGACGCGTCCCCTCAGCGCCGATCTAGAGATCGATCCTACGAAGGATCGATTTTTTGCGTGGTTTAAAAAGCTTCTAGAGGTTTTTTAAGCGTTGTGCAAAGTTTTAGTGCGGTGGAGGATCGATTTTCGACGATCGATCGCAGGATCGGCGTTCAGGGGACGCGTCCTTACTCGCTCTCAAATCAGTTTGCGCCAAAAGGTGTGCACTTAGATTACCCCCAGAAAATCCCTTTTAGAATGTAGACCGCAGCTTTAACAAACTCGAAATGCATTTCGTTACATTGTGCGGAATGCGCAGAAGGTTGAACAACCCTAAGCGAGGAACACAATCCATACACAGTATCGAGGTTCACATTAAACTGTACATAGTGGATTTTGTAATCAGCTGAGAAACATAACATTCACTGTATCAACAATGTCGAGGTGTTTCTTAAAACCTGAATCTCGAATTACAAGTTCATAAGCAAACTGGTGACACTGTGCCACCCGCACCTTTTTTGCCGAACCACGTTGAGGGTTCCAGGGTTCCGCACCTCCTTGGTTACCCCACGATCAGTCACTTTACGCATCAAAAACTTCTCCGTCATGAAGCTCTCCGCTTCCCTACTGCTCTTCGCCCTCGTTTGTACTCGCTCATTCTCTCCTTATCCAACTGAAGATCGCCTTACTGTATCCGCCTCCTCTTTTCGGCAGGCTACCCGCGACGTTCTTCAGGAAGGTGAGTATAACCAATCGCTGTCTAACGAGGTGTTTGGCTGCTGGTTTTCAGGAAGTTTTTGCTACGTGGATCTTGCTCCTAGGTCTACGGACCAGGTAAGTGCTCTGCTGGACGTGATTGGGTCTGACACAACGTGTGGTTCCGTAATTTCAGGCAGTATTCCCTACTGGTTTTTTCTCTTCGACCTTCCTGCTTCCAAGGCCTTCCCCATCTTTCGGAGCCTTCCTTCCTCTGCGCAGCCTTGCCGGTGCTGTAGGGCTGCCTTGTGCTGCTTGCTTCCATGCAAGCCTTCTGCGTCGCTCCTGAGCTGGTGCCCTCGTCGATATTCCTCCCGCTGGTGTAAGCTACGAGACCACCTTGCTGGACCTTACGCGGGTCTCTCAAACTCCCGATGTGTATGCGTTCTTGACTTGTACTGCCGATCTGGCAAACAGTCACTATTGACGGGCTGCTTAGGCCATTGCCGAAGCGCCCAGCCCACCTTCCTTACCCTCGCTCACCTCCTTTCACGTCTCGGCTGTGTGCCGTGTCGCCTCAATAATGCTCCTGCTTCTGGCCCGGCCCCGTTGTTGGAATGGCGGTGTTATTTACGCCTCCCGCCTCTGATTCCATTACCATCCCTCGCCACCATGGACTCTCATCACAACCCAGACACTGTCATGACTGACGAGCAGCTTGCTGCTGGGGAGGAAACGATCACCGACCTCGGCGATTACGTCCTCGAAGATCTCCCCGACGGCGTTCCGCCGGAACTTAACGAAGAGCCTGCTGCTAAGAAGCAGTGTGGCGAAGGGACCTCCTCTGGTGCTGCTGGGGCTAGCGCTCCTGCTGCTGCGCCGCTGGTGCCGCAGCCGATGCAGCGCTCTAACTCTTCCGGTAGCTCCGCGGCCATGGCCCCCTCGTCGTCTCGTCCGTCGGCCCCACCAAGGCCGAGGTCTGCTCCGCCCTCTCGGCCGCAGCCTCCTGTCCAGGAAGCCGCGGTTGAACAGCCTTCAGCCGGAACTGCCGCCAACCTCTCCCTGTCGGTGCGATACCGCAACCTCCGCCGTCACCGCCCCTCCGTGGGTACCGAGCTCCGGTCCCTGACGCGCGACCCGCTGCTACTGGTTGCGGTGATGTTTCCGGAGTGCTCTGAGGAGGTTCGGGAGAGTATCCTCTCCCGGATCGCCGCTGCGCTCCCCGGCTCTGCTGCCTTCAACCGTGCTGTCCCGCAGTTTGACGCGGCTACGGGTGAGCCGCTGCTCTTGCCGCGCAGGACGTATTTTCGGCACATCTACTCCTGGACCTCCGCTGCTGACGCACGCATCTTCCGCGGGCTGTTTGCGGTTCCTTTCCTTGTGCGGTTGAACAACAGCCGCCCAATCGAGGTTAAGATTTACGTGGACCCATACCCTGAATTTCGGCTGCAAAGGCTCGTGGCGACACGTACATGGTGGTGCGGAACGTGCCGCTTGGTGTCCAGCCCGAAGAACTGCGCGCCTCTCTGCTCAGCGGCAAAACCGATGATGATTTGCCGTGGCTTGCGGATCTCCTGCATTTTCACCGGCTCAAGGACCCTTATGACGGCTCGGCTTACTCGCAGATGCTTGGACTCCCGGTTGCGGCCGAAGGAGATCCTTCCTTTAACCGCATCTCGGCTATCCTCTGGATCCCGGACCAGGAGGAGCCCGCCTTCCTCAACATATCATGCCACGCGTGCACCCTGTGCTCAAGCAACCACAGGCTTGAGGATCACGCATGCTTCGCCATCACCCGACGCAACCGGGTCGCCAACAGGCAATCCATCACCATGTCTGCGCTGCAGGCGGTTAACGGTACTAACAAACCCCCGCACGTGCCCTTGCTGGCGTTGCCCTTCCTTTCTTGTTCTAAGGCCCTACCAAACCATAGTTCCTTCCCTCGCTGCACTTGTCTGCTCCCTGCTACCTTCGGCTCTGGTCTGGTTACCCCCCCTTCCCTGCTTCCCCCTTTCCACTCTCCCTGCTCCTTCACCCCCCCTCTCCCCAGGCAAGCTCCTTGGACAGCACGCTTCCACGGCAGCTTTCAAGAAAGACCCCGGCCTGCTCCTCATTAGCCTTGACCTCGACGTGGAGGTGTGGGCGTGTTCGATCTGCGACTTCGTGTGCGGCATCGCTCTCGACAGCGCGATGTTTCACCTCAACTCCGATCAGCACCGCAACAGGCTGAAGGACCCTGTATCAGAATAGCTAGGCAAGAATGAATGAACTAGCAGAAGTTTGGGTACAAATATGAAACCCTAGTTGGGGTTGTACCCCATATTGGCTACCCCACTACAGCCTACCAACATAGAACCCATTATAATTTAACACACCCCCATAGGCAAAGTGGGGGAGAACAAAGGGTCACAAGACCAGTCCAGCAAAGCAACACAAGCCCAGGGTGGATCACAACGTCACCACACTCCGAGCACAAGCAAAGGCCACAAGGCCAGTTCACATGCAGTGCTAGATATAGTACAAGACAAGCAACACAGTGATCAAAACCTAGCAAGCAAGCAACAAGATATATATAAAGTACAGTACAAAGAATGTCAAGCAGTGAGCAAGTGAGGAAACGTGGACACAAGGCCTAAAGAAGTACAGTGCCGCTGATGATCACTAGGCGGGAGCGCCTTGGTGAAGATATCAGCAGTGTTGGCCTTCGAGTCCACGTACACAAGCCGAAGCTGACCGCGCTGCTGAAGCTCTCGAGCAAGAAAGTAGCGAAGAGCAATGTGCTTCGTCCTGTGCTCCAGTCTGTGCTCCTGACACAAGGCAAGGGCCGCCTTGTTGTCGCCGTACAGAACTGGAGGAGAACTAGGCCGCTCTCCCAAGTCAGTCAGCAGGTAGGTGAGCCAGCGTAACTCCTGTGCAGCCATGGCCGTGGCGTAGATCTCAGCCTCACAACTAGAGCTGAGAACAGAAGAAGAACGGGTGGACCGCCACGAGACAGAACCAGAGCCAAGGCTGAAGGTGTAACCCTGTGACGACCGCTGCATAGCCAGGTCGTCCACCCAAGAAGCGTCCGAGTGACCAGTGAGGACAACTCTGTCGTGTCCTCCAAGCACCAGCCCCATGCCTGATGTACTGCACAAGTAGCGCAGCACCCTCTTAGCAGCCTCCCAGTGCTCTCGCCTGTGTCTCCCAGGTGCAACGTAACGAGCAAGGATGCTAAGAGGGTACGCGAGGTCAGGTCGCGTGCAAGTCATCAGGTACATGAGGCAGCCCACAAGCTCTGGGTACGGGCCACTCGGCTCTACGGACTCGTCCGGAGGTGGAGCTGAGAGCGAGTGACTGGTAGCCAGAGGTGTGGCCTGTGGTGAGGAGAACTGGAAGCCGAAGCGCTGAAGGACCTGCTGCACCATGTGTGACTGAGTCAGGGTGATGGTGCGGCGAGATCTGTCCCGGGTGATCTGCAAGCCAAGATAGCTACGCAGCTCACCCAGGTCAGTGCAGGTGTGTCTCTTCTGCAGCTCCGACTTCACACGAGCGAGTGCCTCAGTGTCAGCAGTAGCAAAGACCAAGTCGTCGACGTACACGAGAATGTAGAACGGCGGCAGCGACGTGTCTGTGCGCAGAAACAGCGACGGGTCAGCAGTAGACGGCGCGAACCCAAGAGCCGCAAGTGTAGTCCTCAGTGTGTCGTGCCACTCGCGTGGCGCCTGGCGGAGACCGTAGACTGGCCGGCGGAGGCTCCACTGGGTACCAGGAGGAAACGACCCAGTAAAGCCAGGTGGGCGGCGTAGCCAGATCTCCTCGTGCAGGCTGCCCTGCAGGAACGCTGTGCTGAAGTCAAGGGAGTGAAGCTCGTAGTCACGCTGAGCAGCAACGTGCAGCAGAACCCGAAGAGTGGTCACCTTCGGGGTGGGGGAGAAGGTCTGGAAGAAGTCGACCCCCTGACGCTGACTGAAGCCTCGAGCAACGTAACGAGCCTTGAAGACAGGCGGAGAACCTGGCGGCCGCTTCACCCTGAAAATCCACATGCCATCGACGATGTTCGCCCCAGGAGGGGGAACCTCGTCGACGTAGGTGCCTGTGGACTTCCAGGATGCCATCTCTGCGTCCATGGCTGTCTGCCACTGAGAGGAGTAGGGACCCGAGATCGCCTCTGCGTAAGTGCGCGGAGTGGGGATGTCTAGTGCATCCGGGTCTCCCTCAGGGGCAAGCAACCAGGCCACGAGATGAGGTACAGCAGCCGCAAGAGAGTCAAAGTCCTCCTGCCTGTCCTCAAGGACGTCCGTGCCAAGAGCACACTCACCCCCGACGGACGGAGGACAGACAGACTCAGACTCAGCAACAAGACTAGCGGCGTAGTCTAGACGACAGGCAGCAGCAAAGTCGACCAACTCAGCGACCAGAGCAGACACAGCCGAGGACTCAAAGGTAGGGTCAGTGACAACAGTAGCTAGGAGACGCGTGACAGTAGGGTGCTCAGCACGATACCGGTCAGACTCAGGGTCCGGAACAGCAGGCAAAGAGGACGCAGGAGGAGACGGCAGAGGGACACGCTGAGGAGCAGTAGAAGGACGCAGAGTCATGTAGTGAGTGCCTGGGACAGGAGGAGGACGCTCACGACGGACACGACGACCAGTGCGAGCAGTACGGACAGGCGACGCAGGACGAGACTCAGGCTCACGACGCTCTGTAAGACCTCCTGTGGGACCAGTGTAAGGAGAGGGAGCAGGGAGAGGCGAGGCAGGCGGTAACTGTGACTGCGGCTGGACAGTCGGAGGACACTCTACGGAGGGAGGAGGACAAGGAGGAGGAGCCTGCCCAAGAACCTGCTGAAGGAGCGGTACGAAGTACGGCCGCGGCCGCGCAGCGGCTCCAGAAGCAGAAGAGACTCCAGCGTCCGGGTCCTCAGCACCAGCAGCAGCGTCACCGCTCGGGTCCTCAGCTCCAGCAGCAGCTCCACCAGGTGGGTCCGCAGCACCAGCAGCAGCACCACCCCCAGGGTCCGCAGCTACAACTCCGCTAGCGCCGCCAGCTCCAGAGTCCCCAGCTCCAGCAGCTCCAGTCGTAGTGCTCCCAGAACAACCAGTCCCGGCAGCTCCAGCACCCCCAGCTCCAGCCGAGCCACGAGGACGGCGAAAGCGCCGGACGTACCAGTCACGAAGCTGCTGTGGTGTGAGAGACTGCTCAGCACCCCGAACCGGAGCACCCCCAGACGCAGCAACCCGAGGCTCCGTAGGCTCAGTAGCAGCACCCCCAGGCTCAGTACCCGCAGGCGCAGCACCCCCAGACTCAGCACCCCCAGACTCCGCACACGCCGGCTCAGCACCCCCAGTCGCAGCACCCCCAGGCTCAGCACCCCCAGGCGCCGAACTCTCAGGCACAGTACCCTCAGCTCCAGCACCCGTAGTCCCAGCACCCCCAGGCCCAGCACCCTCAGGCTCAGCACTCCCAGCAGCACCACCTGCAGCAGCACCTGAGTCACCTGTGACCTCGACAGGCTCAGCGACGGGAGGAGGGTCTACCTGAGAGACACCTGAAGGAGCAGGACCCTGAGGGGGGAGGGGGTCTACCGGAGGGGGACCAGGAGCAAGGAAAAGCGGCGGGGGAGGGAGGGGGGCAGTACGGTAGGGGAAGAGACGGTAAAAAGGGACCGACTCGTCAAAGGTGACGTCCTGAGAGGCGAAGACCCGGCGCGAGGTGGGGTGGTAAAACTGCCAGCCCGGCGCGTCAGGGACAAAGCCAAGGAAGACACAGGGAAGCGTGCGGGAGGAGAGCTTGTCCGCGGACGTATCGCGGACAAGGGCACGAGCACCCCACACCCGGAAGCGCGACGCATCGCCAACCTCCCCCGTCCAACGCAGTGTGGGCGAGGTCTCCGGCAAGGAGACACGGGGCCAGAGGTTGAGCTGATGCGCGGCGTACCGGACAGCAAACGGCCACAGAAAATGGGGAGCCGCCGCGTGGACCAAGGAGGTACGAGCGACCTCCATGACCAGGCCAATGCGGCGCTCAGCAACCCCATTCTGCTGTGGGGAGTCCGGAAGCGTGAAGGTCTGCTCGATGCCCTCCGCCTGACAGAAGGTCCTCAAGAGGTCGGAGGAAAACTCACCACCTCTGTCAGAGTGCAGACGCAGGACAGGAAGATCCGTCCGGAAACGGCGGCGGAGCTGGAGACGAACTGTGCGGATCCAAGGGATCAGAACAGCAGGGACCTCACCCTTGGTGCGCAAGGGGAAGACCGTGGTGTAACGCGAGTAGTCGTCGACAACCAGCAAAAAGTACCGCTCACCGCCCTGACCACGAACGCGGGCTGGGCCCCACACGTCCAGGTGGAGGGTCTGCAGAGGAGCCTCTGTCGGGGGGAACGAGGAGGAGTGAGGAGCGGCGCGCTGCCGCCCCTCGACGCAAGGAAGGCAAGGCGGCGCAGGCGAGGCAGGGAGGGGAGGGAGGGACCTGGGAAGACCAGACACAAGGAGGCGACGGTGCATGCCACGGAGGCGTGGCAAGGAGGGGTGACCCAGGCGGTGGTGCCAGAGAAGAGTCTGGTGCGACAGGGAACGACACTCACAGGCGTGGGCTACCAGACCTGACGCGGACACCTGACCGACAGCAGCGACCTGGGGAGACGCAGTGGTCAGTGTGTAGAGACTCGACCCCGGCCGACGAGTAAACGTAGCCAGGTGACGGCCGGTCCTGGAGCACGTGCAGATCGCCACACGCTGTCCTCCAGGGGTGAAGGTGTCAACCCACTGATCCTGGAGGACAGCGTTGCTCACCAGGTTCGTCGAGAACGAGGGGAGGTGGAAACCTGTCAACGAGCCAGACGGAACCGCCGGACAAGGGAGCACAGTGGTGGACCGGGCAAGGACCGGGCCCCCAGAGGGATCAGCCAAGGAGACTGGGACCGGTGCAGAAAGCGGTGTGAGCTCAGTACTGTCTCGAAAGAAGCAGCGGGAGGCACCTGAGTCAAGGGTGAAGGTGTGACAGGGCTCAGTCGGTGCAGTACCTGAGAGAGCAGTCTCTGTGGGTGCTGTACCTGAGAGAGCAGACTCGCAAGCAGCAGGGACAGTGCAGGAGGGAGCAGGTACAGGGGGCACCATACCAGAGAGAGCAGACTCACTAGTACCTAGGGCAGCGGGCTCTATACCTGGGTCAGGCGGCACACACAAGTAACAGTCTCCCTCGGCACTAACAGTCAATGCATACATGGCAGCTATAATAGCATCATAGTCAAGAGCAAAGATATCAACCCCAGCCCTCATCAGCTCAGCCCAGCGAGGGCGCTCAACATCCTCGCCCATCTCCTCACGCCAAGCGTCGTCAAGGCGGAAGAAGCAGCGGTACGGGGTGTGAAACCTCCCACACGTCTGTCCCTTGCGATCACCTGTGCGAATGACATAGGAACAGCGGCTACTGCCCCCAGACGTCCCACGCTGAGCAAGCCACTCACGAAGCTGCTGGGTCGACTGGGGACGCTGCTGCTGCTGGGAGCTCTGGCCCGAGCCGGTGCCTCCACTCCGACCTCCACCGCCGCCACTACCTCCGCTCCGACCGCCACCACCGCCACCGCCACCGCCACTACCGCCACCGCCGCCACTGCCGCCGCTGCCACCACCGCCACTGCTCCCGCCGCCGCCCCCGCCTCCGCCGCCGGCCCCACTCCCACCGGCACTCCCGCCACCGCTCCCTCCAGCACCGCCTCCCCCCCCACCTCCCCCACCCCCTCCCCCCCCAGCGCCACCCCCGCCACCCTTGCCCCCCTTGCCCTTGCCAGTGCGGCGCCTCCCACCAGGAGCAGAAGCAGCGCCAGCAGACTCAGCACCAAGGAAGTCAACAGCAGCAGCAGTAGCGTAGGAGGGAGCGAGGGGAGAGGGAGAACACCCCTCAAAGATGGGGGTGCGAGGAGCGCCGCGAGCAGCACCTACAGCTACAATGCTCTTCTCGGCTGCTAGCAGCTTCTCCTCTAGGAGGGCGACAGTGAGCTCAGTGGGACAGCGAGCAAGGAAATAGTCGCGCACTGAGCTGAGGGTGTCAGGGAGACGGGTGACTATGAAGTGGAGTGTCCAGTACAGTGGAGGGGGGTTCTTAGCGCAGAACTCGGTGGGAAGGGCGGCACGCAGGCGAGCGTCACTAGTGCGAAGGTGGGTGATAAGATCGGCGACTGTAGCAAAGGTGGACAGCTCAGGGAACAGGTAAGGCAGCATGAGGCGGCTAAGCTCGGCTGTGGCAGGTGAGGAGTAGCGAGCAACGACAGCGTCGTAAAGGGCCTTAGCGGTTTTGCAGTCGCCAAAATGCTCGAGCTCAGCTAACGGCAGGTGACTGCGAATGGCTAGGCGAGCAGCAGCGTCACGCGTCTGCCACTGAGAACGTACACTAAGCTCGGCTGTGGCAGCAGGAGCAGCGGCAGCACCAGACGCGTAGTCATAGAGGGAGATGTGGTCCGTGCTATTGCTCATAAGATACAACTGCAGGTCGTCGAGCCAGGAAGTGAACTGCACGGGACGGCCCTCAGCATCGAAGGAAAGAACGCGAATAGAGGCCATAGCTCAGGCGTGAGGGCACAGCAGAGCAGCGGCAGCAGCAGAGGGGACGCAGCAAGCGGGCAGTGAGGCAGCGGGCGGCGCTGCGAAGCAGGTAGCGGGCGGGCGGGCGGCGCTGCGAGCGGGCAGCGAAGCGGGCGGGCCGCGAAGTGGGCAGCGAGCGGGCGGGCGGGCTGCGAAGCGGGCAGCGGGGCGAGCGGGCTGCGAAGCGGGCGGGCCGCGAAGCGGGCAGCGAGCGGGCGGGCGGGCTGCGAAGTGGGCGGGCCGCGAAGCGGGCAGCGGGGCGAGCGGGCTGCGAGGCGGGCGGGCCGCGAAGCGGGCAGCGAGCGGGCGGGCGGGCTGCGAAGCGGGCGGGCCGCGAAGCGGGCAGCGAGCGAGCGGGCTGCGAAGCGGGCGGGCCGCGAAGCGGGCAGCGAGCGGGCGGGCGCGAAGCGGCAGCGGGCAGCGAGCGGGCGAGCGGGCTGCGAAGCGGGCGGGCCGCGGAGCGGGCAGCGAGCGAGCGGGCTGCGAAGCGGGCGGGCCGCGAAGCGGGCAGCGAGCGGGCGGGCGGGCTGCGTGGCGGGCGGGCCGCGAAGCGGGCAGCAAGCGGGCGGGCTGGCTGCACTGCGAGGGGCGCGCGAGGGCGCTAGTGAGGGGCGCGCGAGGGCGCTAGCAAGGGGCGCGCGAGGGCGCTAACGAGGGGCGCGCGAGGGCGCTAACGAGGGGCGCGCGAGGGCGCTAACGAGGGTGCGCGCGAGGGCGCTAACGAGGGGCGCGCGAGGGCGCTAACGAGGGCGCACGAGGGCGCTACGAGGCTAGGGCACGGGGTAGCGTGGTAACCGCATGCGAGCGGTGGTGGGCCCTTAAAAAACGGTCGGTAGGTCCTAGGGACCTCCTGCTCTGAATACCATATCAGAATAGCTAGGCAAGAATGAATGAACTAGCAGAAGTTTGGGTACAAATATGAAACCCTAGTTGGGGTTGTACCCCATATTGGCTACCCCACTACAGCCTACCAACATAGAACCCATTATAAGTTAACACCCTGCGCACCAGAATGTCAGCAAGGACAAATACGGGGCCTGGTGCAGCATCACCGCATCATTCTGCAGTAGACCGTCCTGCGGGTGACAGACTTGCCGACGAACCAGGGCCTAACTACCTCTCCTTCTATGCTCCTAGGACTACTCTCCGATGCATCCCTGTAACACATGTTTTCCTTCTAATGAAACACGCCGCATTCCAACTCTCCCCCAGGATTCGCACTACCCCGTTTACCCCGTGGATGCACATGCTGGCGCATGTGGGGGTCCTAATCGATGAACAATGTTAGTCCCCCTCACTATTAGGTGCATCAATGTGAATGGGATCAATAAGCAAAAGAAACTCAATGACCTTCGTGGATGGCACGCCAAACGCGGCCCAAAAGCAGACATCCTTGTTCTCATAGACACTAGGTTAACCCTTAACTTCCAAAAACTCATTATGACCCTCAAACCAGCCTCATATGCACATTGTCCTTCCCCATTCATCAATCGATCCAAACCCGGGGGTATAGCGGTCCTCTTTTTCCATAATCAAATCACCATCTCCTCCCAAGAGTGCTCCCCAGACGGACGGATACTCTCCCTGCACTTTATTTACCTAGGCGAGCAACTTCGGCTCATCGCCCTATATGCCCCCTCCACCCCTGCCCTCCGGCGTCCTTGGTGGAGATCCTAGTTCCTAGCTGCACTTAATAATCCCTCCTCCGTGGCCGGCACAATCGTGGCCGGCGATTTCAACGCGGTGTGCTCGGCCGAGGACAGGAATAGACCCCCCTTGGCTCATGAAACCTCGGAAGGCGCTATTTTAACCTCTATTCTTCAGCAGTACTCACTGGTCGATTCCTTCCGTCATGTCTACCCGAACGAACCCATGTTTTCCTTGTTCGCCCTGCCACGCGCCCTGCAAGGAGACTCCCCCCCTACAGCTTCACGTCTCCGAGGCACTTAAAAGCAGGATTATAGATGCGCAATACGCTTCCGCCTCTAAGGAGCTCACTGATCACGACTTATCCCCTTCTTGCATCCTCCAATGCGAGTCCCCCAATCTTGCCCCCAGGCCCTGGCGGCTCCCTCACTCTCTTCTACGCCGCCCGCACACAGCTCACCTCGTCTCCAAGGCTTGCCAAGCTCTTCCACCCGTTTTGAATGGTGAAAGCTGGGATGCCTGGAAACTCGCTCTGTGCAATCAGCTCAAAGCCTTCGGACGCCAGGAAAAGATTCGGATAAAAAAAACATCCGAACATCTCCAAAACCTGGTCAGCCATATTCGGATTGCCCGTGCAGTCAACCCCACGGACGAGGGCCTCGGTGAGCAGCTGCGCGCCGCATCCCAACAGTTTGACAAGTACGAGGCTTTTCGCGCCGCAGATATAGCCCTCAAAGCGAAGCTGAAAGTCGAAGGCCTCCGCGAAATGGGAGTCTCCTCATTGCTGGTCGGGATTAACTCTCGTATCAAAGCCTCGCTGGTCACGTCCCTTCAATCCCCCTCAGGCGAGCTCGTCTCGGACCTCCCCACGATGAGCACCTTATGCACCACCTTCTTCCAAGACCTATACAGTGCCTCGCACCTCGTTCGATACGACGAGAATTTCTGGTCGCATGTCCCCCCCTCCCAGCTCCCCCCTCACACTTCCTCCCGACTCGCGCTACCCTTCTCTATGGAGGAAATCGCCTCTGCTATCAGCAAGCTCCCGCGCTGTAAAACTCCAGGGCCGGACGGCCTGACAGGGGAACTCTTCCGCTCCTTCAAGACCAGCTTCACCCCAGCCATCCACTCCCTGTTCCTTGCCTCCTCCTCCGCCCTCCCCCCCACGATGCTGCAGGGTCGCACGGTGCTTATCCCAAAAAAAGGGGATTCCACCGTACTTGATAACCTCCGCCCGATCACCTTAATGAATTCCGACTATAAAATCCTTGCCATTTGCCTCGCCTCCTGCCTCCAACCCTTACTCCCTTCCCTCATTCACCACTCTCAAGCTGCGTTTATCAAATCCAGGAAAATCGTTGATACGCTTAATGATACTCTCGATATCTTCAACTGGGCCACCACACAAAAATTCCCTTTGCTTGCCCTGACAGTTGACATTCGCAAAGCATATGATTTAGTCGATCGAGAATTCATGCTCACCTGCCTCGCAACCCTCGGTCTGCCTCCCCCGTTCCTCCATTGGGTTCGGCTTATGCATACCAATACGACCACAAAAATATCCGTCAACAACTTCTGTGGGCCGGCCATCCCTGTCCGCTCAGGTGTACGGCAAGGGTGTCCCCTCGCCCCCCTTCTCTTTCTTTGCGTTATCGAAGTTTTCCATCGCTATGCTTCTCACTTCCTTCCCAGCTTCCCCATCTCCTGCACCCAACGACGGCTAATGTCGTGCTATGCAGACGACGTGACAATATTCCTTAACTCTGACAAAAAGCTCCAGAAGGCCTCTCACGTTCTCCTTTCCTTTGCCGCGGTGTCAGGCGAATACCCGAACCGGGCCAAATGTGCCCTCATTCCATTCAACATTCCCCCCTCGGCAATCACATATGCCGGCGCCATTCCCATCCGCGGCGAGTCTGAATTCGAGCGGATCCTGGGCATCTACGTCGGTCAATCCGGCCGCTCCGACGTCACTTGGGAAAGAACCCAGACACAAATCAAAAAGACCGCTAACTTCCTTGCCAATTTACACGCTTCCTCCTCGTGCCGGAAAAACCTGTCAAATATCTTTCTGAACTCTGCCTTGACCTTCCCTGGCAGATTTCAACCCCCCCCCCCCACCCCCTCCATTCAAGCCATCGACGCAGTCGTTGGGAACTTACTCTCGTCGTCCAAATACCAAGCGGAAGGTCGTACTCACCGGCTCCTCGCTCATAACACCATATACAACAGAGTCGAGCACGGCGGGCTCGGGGCAATCCGTCCCACCACGCAAATACTTGCGCTGAACGCTCAGCGTGCACTGCGTCGCTTCTCCCACCTTCCCAACGCAGCCGTCGCAAGGGAGCTCGTACCCATCCCCTTCGGCCTCCACGGCTTCCTGCTTCACAAAGACTTCCTCGCGGCTCTCCCTGACGCCGTCCCGACCCGCCTACGACAAGAAGTCCGGAGTCTCACCTCGCTCTCCCTTAACGTGCTGCCCCCCCGCCCCGAGTTCTGGTGCATCCTGGCCGAACTTGTCCCGTTCAACCCCCTCCTCTGCAAGGAGGACGGGCGACCCTTCGGACGGCTCAAAGACGAGGCCTTCCTCTTAACGGAAGAAGTCCGTATTGGCCATCTTGTGCGCCGCGACGCCACAGGTGCCCGCCGGATGACTAAGGAGGAAATCCTGCTCAAATACCCCCCCCGCAACTACCCTTGCAGCCGCCGTATCCTCCACGAAATTTATGAGGCGATGCCGGACGAATGGTTGGCGGCCCTATCCTCCTCCCACAGCCGCGTGCCCCTGTCCTCTGGCGACTGGGTGATAATGGCGGCAGATATGCACTCCCTTCCTCGCCTCGCTTATGAAGTCGCCTCCATTATCTCAACTGATTCCTTCCAGGCCAGCGCCTACCCCATCGACCCAGTAGGTAGAATCTCGAAGGCGGCTGAGGCTCGTTGCCTCCTCCGCATTCGAGATACGGTGCAGGTGCTCGTGACAGATCGGTGGCTCTGCGGTACCTTTTGCTCAGGAGCGGGACTAGCAGCGCGATTGGAGATTCTACACGAGGGCGCCCCTTCACTAGCGACGATCAGGAGCCTGGCTTACACGCAACAGCCGCTTCCGCATGCGCAACGATGGATTAACATCCTTCCTGACCCAGGTCCCAGCCTCGTTCCTGACTACACGCACGACTTCCTAGCAGAACAACCCTCTTCGCAGCGTGACGTGCTATTTCGGCTTTACGCTCGTGCGCTGCCCTCTGGTTCACGATTCCTTTACACTGCCGATAAGGGCATATGCGGGGGGTGCAACAGAGGAGTCATTGAAGACCTGCCTCACCTCTTTTTCGAATGCGGTGTTGCCCAACCCATCACCGCGGCGCTTCAACGGACCGCCCGCCTTCACATGGGAATTTCCACTCCAGCGGCGTTGACCCTCTTCCCTATGACCTCAGCTGCGGGCCGGGTCGCTCCCTGAAGCCTATTGGTCGGTGCGGCAGCGAAAGTCATCTGGAACTCTCGCTGGAGCCACAAATACAGACAAACCCCACACAACTCACTTGAAGCACTGCAAACCGTTCTACACCTCTTCCTACTCGCCTTCAAAATCCTGCTCTAGCGTGCATCCAACGGTTCAAAAAAGAAGAGAGCTCGAGCAGCTCACCGAGTCAAACTAGCCACCCAACACCGGCTTTTCATCTTCCCGGAACCCAACTGTCCAGCACTACACCCCGACTTCAAGGCCACATGGCTGCTCACCGATCCTTTCCGCCCACCTTAACCAACTACTTCGCTACATGTCAGCTAGATTTGCATCCTTTCTCGGGTGCCTCCACCCTTCGTGGTGGGAGGATGACGTGTCTCCACGTGCTCCCCTGGCGGGAGCCAACTCTAGCTTGTTTCCTTCTCTAGCTGCTTGCATGTTTGTAAACAGGTTACGACCTCAATAAAACCTTAAACCTTAAACCTTGGTTACCCCACCTTGGCTTGTGCGACTTTCGACAAGCCCAGAAAGAGTCCCGCAGCATGCCTTCGAAAACACCAGTCATTTTGGCATTCTACTTGCTTCAAATTCGGGTTTCGGGATCCCATGCCATAGCTGCACGCACGAAATATTCCGCGGGACATCTCCGCTGCTCTGCGCGCCGTCCGTAGTGACAACCCTCGCGCCTCCGCGCCTCTTCATCTCCCCCTCCCCCGCGCTACCATCCCACCGCCTCGGCTTACAGCGCTTGATACCGGTCTCCTTGCGCTCCGTTCCGCAGTGCGGGGAACCACGCACAACTACGCGCGCCGAAGCGCCCTATTCTGTCCGCCGTATGCCGTACCGAGCGGGTCTACTATCTTCTGTTTCCCCGCAACATCTTGTAACCTAATAAAAAACTCCCCTGCGCGAATTCCAATTCCCTAAAAGAAAATGTTACTTTGATTGCGCAAATTGTTCTCACATAGGTGAAGAGACACAGCGGGAGAGCCGGAGTATAAACCTCCGCCATCCGCCTCTCCGCGCGCCTCGACGCGTCGCCCCCACACGCCTGCTTATCATTCGCATCTCCGCCTCCCACTTCTCCGCCACGCGCCACTCCAGCCGCCGTACGCCTCATCATCGTCCGCCTTGTGGGGGTAAATTAGAGAGCGGGGGGTTAGAGCGGAAAGGGGTGAGGAGGGAGGGTGCGCGAAAGGCAAGGGTGGGTGAAGATGAGGGGAGAGGTGGGAGAGGGGGTAGGGGGATGGGTTGGCTCTGAGTGCAAGGTGGAAAGCAGGAAGCGGCAAGCAGGAGCAGTAGAGTAGAGGTTTAAAGAGAGACTGGAAGTGCCCTCCAACTTTGCTGTTACATCCCTCACCTCTCCCCCCCTTCAACTTTTCATCCCTCACTCACGCGCTTCCCCCGTCTCACTCCTCTTACTCCTTACTTTGCCACATCGGCTCCCCTCAATTTCCCCTCCTTTCATGGACCTTCTTGTCCTTCCCCTCCCCACACCACACCCTCTACCCCTCTCCCCACCATCTTCTCGCCCTACCGTTTCCTCTCTTTGCCGTGCGTGCAGGTGGGAGTGAAAATATCAGCAGTATCGCGCACACAAGACCAACACGCCTGCTGCTGCCCCTCGCACAGGAGCTAGGTGAGGAATTCAAGGAGATGCTAGGTGCAGGGGGGAAACTGCAGGGTGCAGGGAGGAAACTGCAGGGTGCAGGGGGGAAAATGCAGGGTGCAGGGGGGAAACTGCAGGGTGCTGGGGGGAAACTGCAGGGTGCAGGGGGGAAACTGCAGGGTGCAGGGGGGAAACTGCAGGGTGCAGGGGGGAAACTGCAGGGTGCAGGGAGGAAAATGCAGGGTGCAGGGGGGAAACTGCAGGGTGCAGGGGGGAAACTGCAGGGTGCAGGGGGGAAACTGCAGGGTGCAGGGGGGAAACTGCAGGGTGCAGGGGGGAAACTGCAGGGTGCAGGGGGGAAACTGCAGGGTGCAGGGGGGAAACTGCAGGGTGCAGGGGGGAAACTGCAGGGTGCATGGGGGAAACTGCATGGTGCAGGGGGGAAACTGAGGAGAGTGGGGGGGGAAATGAAAAGAGCAGGGGGGTAACTGAAGGGAGCAGGGGGAAACTGCAGGGAGCAAGGGTTGAAACTGCAGGGGAAACTGCAGGGGAGGGAGGGAAGGGAGAGAAGGGAGGGAAGGGAGAGAAGGGAGGGAAGGGAGAGAAGGGAGGGAAGGGAGAGAAGGGAGAGAAGGGAGAGAAGGGAGGGAAGGGAGAGAAGGGAGAAGAGAAAAGAGAGAAGGGAGAGAAGGGAGAGAAGGGAGAGAAGGGAGGGAAGGGAGGGTAAGGGAGGGAAGGGAGAGAAGGGAGGGAAGGGAGGGTAAGGGAGGGAAGAATGGGACGGGAAGGGGAGAATGGGCACGGGAAGGGGAATAGGGCGACGGGAAATGAGTACTGGGCGGCAGGAAAGGGGAATCGTGCGTTAGGAAAGGGGAATCAGGGGCGGGAAAGGGGAATCGGGCGGCGGGAAAGGGGAATTGGGCGGCGGGAAAGGGAAATCGGGCGGCGGGAAAGGGGAATCGGGCGGTGGGAAAGGGGAATCGGGCGGCGGGAAGGGGTAGCGACAACTGCGATTGCGCGAGTGCGGCCCGCTATTCTGCACTTTGAGGCACCGCGCGTCGTATTCACAGTGGCGTGAGGACGCAGCGTGAGGCGGCGAAGCCACGCCGCCTTGGGCGACGAGGGGAGGCAGATCGGCGTGACAAAATCGCCTAATTCCGGCGGGAAAGGGGATTTCGAGCAAGGGCATGTATACGGCGCCTTTTTTTCCCGTCGCACACCACTCCCGTTTCCCCGCTTTTTTTTCTAGTGTCGCTCCCACTGTTCTGTCAACATCCCGTGTCCTGTTATATATGCGAGCGCCATGTCCTACCGTTGTCCTTCATTTCAGGCTTATCGCGTGAGACATTCCTACCGTTATCACATTGCTCTCTTACGCCCCATAACGCGCAGGGCGCGTTTACCTTGCGCTTGTATCGAATTCGATGGCGTCGTCGTAATCCTCTGACAGTTCCTCTATGTGTGGTACCAAGTAGTTGGTGAAGGCCGATCTAGGCGTCGTACTTATGACTCACAGTCGAGTGACTACCCCGCATAGCAAAGTGATGACAGTTTGACAGGTGGGTTGGCAATTTGGCAATAGCGTTGCCGTGGTGTCCCGCGAGGGCTGCCCCACATCAGTTTTGTTGCGACGCCATTTGTATTGTGGGTGGGTTTCACGAACCAGAGCCTTCGCGAAAGTTCTGAACCTTTCGTCCCCTCTACCTCCGAACCTACGCTGTCTCGAGTTGACTAGCGTTGAGTAATTCGGGTTGGCCTTTACGCACCACCAGGTGCGTGGAAGGGATTGGCTTACAGAGGTAAGGTGATGATGGGATCGGATATCCCTGACATGGATGGGGTCACAATGGCTGCTGATCTCTCTGCTCTCAGGCACCACCGGGTGAGTGGAGGACTGGAGGTTTACGATCATGCAGGGCTGGATGCGGGATGTGATGCAGATGGAGGGAATGAGTGTGAGAGACAGGAAAGCAGATGCTTGTGTTTGAAGACCAGGATCGCTTTTAAGATGAAAATTCATCTCAAACAAAGAAAGGCACAAATAAAGAAAGAAAAGAACTCAGTTCATCCCGGGAAAAGCACTGGGCTGATTGGAATGACAACTTGTTCGTTGCAACCTCGTTGGCTTTTCTGGCAGGTGGTGTTTGGCCCGGCCCTGGATGGCGGATACTACCTCCTTGGGCTCACTGCAGTGCTGCCATGCCTCTTCCATGTATGTATTTGAGAGGCATGCCACCACACGTAGTGTACTCATCTCATCCCATGTGTGGTTTCACTTACGTGCATGTGTCTGGATGGCAGATGCTACCTCCTTGGGCTCACTACAGTGCTGCCATGCCCCTTCCATGTATGTGGGGCATGGCACCATGTATGAGGGGTATGTCGCCATGTGTAATGTGCTCATTCTATGGATGCATGTGGATGTCAGTATCCGATCTCTCTTCTGCATCCCTCTCAATTGCATGCTCTCGTTCTTCCTGTCTCTCCCAGCAACTCTTTCCCCAGTTATCCTCCCTCCCCCCTTCTTTCTCTCACACCACCGCACCCACTTCTTCAACACTCACCCCACGGGCAGGGTGTTGCAGCAGTCGCTCTCTGCTCTCCAGACCAACACAGTATCTGCCATGGTGCCACTGGCCTGCCTCCTATCTCCCTTCCCTCCTCTCCCCCATGACCCAACCCCATCAGGGCATAGAGTGGAGCACGCACAGGGTGTTGCAGCAGTCACTCAGCACTCCATACCAACACAGCGCCTGCCAGCAACACTGGCCTGCCTGCTATCTCCCTTCTCTCTCCCTTCCCTCCTCTCTCCCTTCCCCCAACCCCATCAGGGCATAGAGTGGAGCACAGACAGGTTGCTGCAGCACCCTGGTTAAGTGTGCTCCCATGCCAGACGTGCTCCATGCAGTTTACTCCCACGCAGTTCCTGCCAGCCAAAGTGTTACTGGCCTGCCTGCAACCTCCCCATCTCTCCCTTCCCCCGGGCCCCATCAGGGCATAGAGTGGAGCACAGACAGGGTGCTGCAGCAGTCACTCTCTGCTCTCCACACCAACGGAGTGGCTGATGTGGAGCCACTGGATTCGCTGCCATACCTGAGGGACATCGACACTGTTCAAGACCTGACAGCCTGGCTTGCAGAGCAACAAGCGGCGTGCGGCAAGGGTGGTATCTTGGAGGCAGATGCTAAGGCACATGCTAAGGCAGGCACTGCACTGACAAATTGTGGCAAGGCAGCGCATGTGAAGGATGGTTCGAGTGCAATGCAACCTTCTGAGTCGACTGGAAAGGTAGTCGCTGCACCAAGTGGTGGCAGGAAGACATGGCATGAGGAGCATGCATTGAGAACAGAGCATGTTGATGCATGCCGCACACCACATACTGGTGTGCGCCCGACATCCCATGGTCCTGGTGGTGTGCCTATAGCAAAGGTTGGTGGAATGGAAGGTGGAACACAAGCCATGAGGCTGATTACTCTAGTTGCCACAATTCTTGGTCAGGTTAGCCTAGTAAGTGCACTGTAGTGCTGTATAAAGCCCTTAAGTCCGTATTCGTGTGTCATTTAGGTAATGTAATCACCCAGAAACCATAGTAGACAGACAGTGTTGAATTGACGACACGGTGTCTTCAATTGGAGGATACCAGATATTGATTACCGTATGTTGTCCCTGCGTGCTCCAAATCATGCGCATGGTGACTCATACCACTGTTATTCCCTTGTTGAGTGTTGTGTTGCATCAGCAGCAGGCTCTCATCATGATGAGGTCTGCCAACTGTCAAAGTGTATTTGTTCTTGTTACTGTTACACTTGGTAGGCTAGGTTAGGGCTGTTTTTTTTGTACTCATGCATGCCATGCAATTCAGTTCACACAGCCCGCCACCCTACGTTTAGCCCGCAAGCCCTAGCGCCACCCGACGTCCTTCTCCAGCCAGCAGCCTGCTATAGCGCAGCCCACAGCCTGCAAGCATGCCGTAGCTCGCCAGCTTGCACGCTGCCACGCTAGCGCACGGCCCGCAGCACACCCTCCAGCCGTCGCCCGCCAGCACACCAGTGAGTTGTTTGTCAGCGCGCCACCATCCGTAATATATATCCTAAATTCTGTGACCGTTTGTGATAGCCTAGTGACCATTTGAGATATAAGGCCCATGTTTACGACCATTAATTTGCCCTTGTTTTTATCTCACCGTTACTTCATGTGAAGCTGTCCCCTTTGTTCTTTTGAACTGTTTTTGCAGCTCGTATTACACTACTAGTTTTTGTTTTTAGCACAGTTGGATCAGGAAGGTTGATACTGTTAGAACGCCTCACAATTGAAACACCGGAGGAGAGTCGTGATCACACACCGAAACTGTAAACATCGATCTCCTCCGAACCACATGTGTAAGGAATTTTGCTAATTCCTTACTGAGGCAGCTCTTACGCGTACAATTCCAACTTTCGGAATTCAGGCTCGGTCCGACGACCTCGCCTTCCGAACGTCCGTCGCGTCGCCTTCGGGGTTTCCATACCCAAACCTGCACCCAACCACCATGCGACTCCGTGACCTCGGCCTAGCTAGTCTCGCTATATTATGCCTAGGTCTCGTTGTTTGCTCAGTAGTTGTAATCACTTCCGCGTTATTGAATTCTGCGCACTCTTCTTTCGTACAACTCATAACACCTGGTATCAGAGCTACTTTCCTAGGTTACCCACCACTTTCCGGGGTAGTTTTAGTGCAGGGGTGCGATAGACTTGGTGGGCTGCAAAGCGGTCGGCTGAGAGATAGATACGATTATCTCGCTCCGACTAATAGCGTTTGCGCCTTCATCAAAGTCATAAAAATCGCTGTTAACCCGCTGCCCGTTAGGAGAAGCTTGCGAAACATGGATCAAGCGGAATTTAACGAGTTCATGCAACAGTTCCGGGCGATGCAAGCCAACTTGCAGACCATGTCTGCAGAAATGGAACGCCTGAGGGAGGAAAACGCCGAGCTACGCCAGATGCGAGGTGAAGCGCGTCGGGAGTCGCCCGCCGTGGATGAAGCAAGTAGCAGCAACGCCCCTAACGACGAGGTCCTCAGCGAGCTACAGAACTCGCTGGACGCTGAAGATGAGTGGGCGGCACGAATGCAACAGGCACAAGGGACGCAAGAGCAACAGCCACAAGTGGCGCCGAGGCAACAGTCGCAGACTACGCCACGACAGGCAACAGCGACAACCCCGGTGATGGCTTCAGTGGCGCCCCCGATGCATGCAGCAGCAACAGTCTCGACAACTATTAAGATCAAGCCGACGAACCCGCCCCCGTTCAACCCCAGCGACAAAACCGTCACAGTGTCGGCATGGTTGTTCGGTGTGGAGGTATTTTTCAATGCTGCGCAAATTGCCGACGATGCTACCCGCATTAATTTTGCAGTGTCACTATTACGAGGACCGGCGTTGGAGTGGTGGAGGCGGACTCTTCAGACAGAGGGGACTCCGGCAGGACAATCACGTGCGAACGACGGGACCTGGACAACTGTCACGCAACAGGCAACTTCAATCTTCGGAGTGGCCACGATACGCACATGGACGGAGTGGGGCGCCGCGCTGCGAAACAGATTCGAGCATGTATCCGCCTCGGATTCTGCTCGCATGAAGCTGCGTACCTGGAAGCAGGTGGCGTCGGTCCAAGATTACACGGCAACATTCTGCAACTTGGCGGACCAAGTGGACGACATGAGCGATGCAGAGCGACTCGACCGATACGTCGCAGGCCTCAAGTACGAAGTACAGTACGAGGTGCGACGGGCGAGACCACGCGACTTCCTCGATGCCGTCCAGGTGGCTGAATCAATCTACGGATGCGCTGATGCAATGGGCGAGAATGAGTTCCCGGGAGGGCACTCAATTTTATGGACCGCCGCACCAGCCCACAATCAACGGGGTGGATGCACCGAGACGTGGACCCAACACATGTTTCAACTGCAACCAACCGGGCCACTGGAGGAAGGACTGCCCGCAGCTGAAACAGGGAAACAGGAACGACGGAGAGGGGTCGGGAAAAGAGACGAGTCAGTAGCAGTCGGGCCACCTACTGACGAGACCCCGTCGCCCGGCAATCAACATCCACACCGAGTGGTGGTACCGATACGGGCTATCGACCGCAACCGGACGAATAAAGTGGATGAACACGTGGATCACCCTGTGCTGGTCGTGGGGAGGGTTAACGGTCATAAAATAAAATTATTCGTTGACGGTGGGGCGAGCCACAGTCTCGTCAACCTGTCAACAGCCAAAAAAATTGGAGTCAAGCTGGACAGGTGTCTGCCCGAGATTGACGCGCGACTGGTGGACGGGACACCGCTGGCGATCAAGGACGAGGTCCGACAAATTCGGATGAAGTGTGGCGACGATTTCGGGTTTTCAATGCGAATGCTGGCGACGACACTGGACGGTTGCGATGTGCTGCTAGGATGAGATTGGCTACAGCGTTTCAATCCAACGATCGACTGGACGACGGGGACAATCACGGTGCTGTGCAACAAGGGGCGCGTGACACTCCCGAAGTGGGCGGAGCCGGAGCCGATGACAACACGTGTCAACGCAATAACGCTGAAAAGGGCGATAAAACGGGGAGCGCAAGGCTACGCCGTACAGC